ACTACCACTACCACTACCACTGGCACTACTACTACTACTACTACTACTACTACTACTATTACTACTACTACTACTACTACTACTACTACTACTCCTGCTCCTCCTCCTCCTCCTCCTGCTGCTGCTGCTGCTGCTACAACTGCTACAACCACTACTGCTGCTGCTGCTGCTACTACTACTACTACTGCTACTACTATCACTGCTACTACTACTACTACTACTACTGCTGCTGCTGCTGCTGCTGCTGCTACTACTACTACTACTACTACGACAACCACTGCGACTACTACTACTTCTACTACTACTACTACTACTACTACTACTACTGCTACTAACATCACCACGTGCTATGTCGGTGCTAGTCGCTGCTGTTATTGGGAGAAGTCTGTCCATGCCGGCTACACGGGCCGTATTCTGGCCGATGCTTCCATATAACGAATCAAGTGGGGCAGTTTAGGTCTGACGTGCAAGCCTGACGGCGCCCCGTTTTTTGCCTTGTCGTGACTTACCAAGCCATGTTAAACAGGGACAACATCCCCAAAACAGTTGCGATCGAACTTTTCCCTGAAACTTCCGTCCCGCCGCCAATGAGCCGGTCCCAAACCTCCGTGCTTAGCCTTAGGAACAAAGCCATCCATCCTCAGGGGTATGTTCGCTAGTGGTTTGCTTTGCATCTTTTTAAGGTTTGGGCCAAGGCAGTTGTTGTCGATATGTCAGGACTGACAACTCTTGAAACACTGTACAGTGCCGTCGATATAGCCTCCGTCCTTGATGTCTGCGCGGTAGACTCCCACACGCATGCATTCCACTCGTGCCCCCTGGACGGGCAAACAGGAAAACAAGTGGAGCTAGAAGATGTTTGACCACCGGCTCACGCATGGAGTGAAGCTCCTATCTAGCCCGGGCGAATCAGAATTTGCGCTCGACCCGATACCAAATCCAGAACTATAGGGCAGATCGCCCACGACTGGGTAGCTACTCAACTTTGTCACTAAACGATTATCGACAACGACATTGTCTTTTTCAGCCGCAGGAAGAAATGGACGAGTGCTGAGTTCCTACGGTTCGACGTTCAACATGCGAAAGGTTCCGTCCGAGCATGTCGCTCTTCGAAAAGACAGAGCCTGCGGGATACGAGAGGGGTTCTAGAGATGGGCGTCTTAAATTAGATGACCAAATATAACTGCCATGTCTGTGCCGTGCATCGCGGCGAAGCGAAAGGGGGATGTGAAATATCACTGATGTATGAAAAAAATACCCTGCTGGCTCGATAGGCACCCACTTGAGGTTGCCCGTGTAGGAGTTCCCTTGGTAGGGATCCGACTACTTAGTCGAGATCTCTTAGTGTCACACCCTTCACAACACACTCTGCTCGGCCAGGCCTCGTAGGTCGACTGCTCAATCAAGCGGTTCGTTCCCTGCTTCGGCTTCAGATGCAGGGCTTATGTTGCTGTTGCGGGCTTCAGGTTCTCAAGCGGCGCGCTCAGAGGGCATTTCGGGCTTACTTCGGCGGGACGAAAAGTAAAGAAAGGAAGGTCTGAAGCTTGAAAACAGCCATCCAGCATGCAGTCAGGGGGCACAGAACAGAGCATTGGCACAGAACAGGCTCAAAGAACCGAAGCAGCACTTCAGTTGAGGCGTGAGGAATAGAAGGGGCTACCTGCGGCAGAAGGTTGACAGTTCAAAGGATCCCCGGTGTTCGTTGGCCGTGCAATAGCGAGGTTTGCGCCCGTGCCACGAGAAGGCTACTCCTGGCACCTTGGGCATCTCTGAAACGGTTGGAGCACCGGCTCTGCAACGTACTGTCCGTGCTTTCTGGATCTGAGAACTAGACTTTTGGGGCTATCTTCGCTAACCAACTCTTACTGAGCTCTGGCTTCAACCGCGGCATTGAACTGCCAGGGCTGACACCGTCAGTAACAGACACACAGGCTGCCAAAGAGGATGCAGCATCTAAACACACTCAACACTGATTGTTCTGAACAGCAGTGCTGATAATGTTCGATTTTTCCTTCAGCCTTGTGTCTGTTCCGTCTTCTTTCTTTACAGCGTGTATTCACAAGAAAGCGAGTGAGCATTCATCAAACCCACTATCCCCGAGAAGCGACCGGAAACCACACTCTGCAGGCTGGGCTGGACCATTTTTTCCCCTGGAAGCGACAACGCCGAGTTGCGAGATGCAACTCCCCATGAATCAGCCCGAGGTCTCAGCCCATACATGTGCACTGTGAAGAGGGGGACTAAAGTAAGCTCCTAGTTGACAACAACCGGCATTCATGCTGGGCGTGCTAGCAGGATCTCGCGTTCAACCGCAGACACCTCTGGCCGTCCTGACTTTCACCGCGCGCATGAACAAGTGCGAGTCTGCCCTGAATCAACATGGATCTGCAAAGGTGCGGGATTTAGCAGGGCATGGTAGCTAAAACAACATCGAGATTTTGGCAGAAGGAAAAGCCAACAAAAAAACACATGGACCAACCTCCTAGCTAAGCCTATTTCTCTCCACCGTCAGCTTGGGCCGACTTTGGCCGTCACGCGCTTGGATTTGTCGACCACAATCCTTCGCAAGCCAGTTCGTTCACATGCGTGCGAGGCATGATTACCTATGGGTCAGGGCTTTCGCGGTGGAAGTGACAATGACGGTCGCCAGTGAATCCTGCGCTCGGTCAACTTACAACAGCAGTCTAGGGGGTCGGGTGCTTCCTGACATGAGCGTACGACTTGGAGTTGCTGACCCGTCCAGAGAAGCAGAGGAATATATCAACATCAGCCAAAGCACTGCTTTTTGTCAGAGGGAAGAGCACCTTCCCATAGTTTCCGGATGCTGATCCGGACCTCCTTGTTCACCTTCAGGCTGGATCTTCGAAGATCAGCTTTCCATTGTATTCCAACCGACACGTATGCATTCACACATGCACCGCATACGCATCCCCGCGATCACCAATGCCAGTGATGAATTGGACGAGCCCACCGTGCGTTTCGTTTCTTCGATCTTCTTCATGAGGACCTAGACTGCTACAGAATTTGTCTGAAGTGCTCGAATCAAAGACAGAGCATAACAGAACCAAACGGGCATCTTGGTATATGTTCCCCAAAATGGTACAAAGTAAGGCATAGTGACTAGGCATAGTGCTAGTATGCTATAGTTACTATAGTACCAGGCAGCTGCTTAGCCGTGTGCCTGCCAATATGTCAGAACATACCAGCATAGAGCACAATCAAGAATAACAGCGCTACCACATACCGCATGCCGGCATGAGAGCAAAGGTAATTCTGATTTGTGTCGTTTTGAAGAAACCGTTCAACTAGCTTGAGCGGCGTGCCTTGATCTCCAGGTCCCTGCGCTGCTCCTGATTTCCGCCATGGATTCGGTCTTTGGATTTGGAACCTCTGGTGAGGGTCACTGTTTTGGATGCTATCTAAAGTTGGGGTTTCACGATCTTGAACAGCAACTACTCCCAGAGTTTGGCTTGTGGGCTCATCATTTTCGGTATTGGTATACTCTGCATGATGGTCACGCTCTTTTCACGGCAAATGACCAGGGCCAGGTTCACGAGGTCCAGTTGCATTATCATGATTGCCTGCTCTCCGTGTCACAACCACTTCCGGTTCGACCCGACTTTGCGATTCTGCTGCTGTTGTGTTTTGCCTCATTGCCGTGTTGATCGACTGTAGTCAGCTTTGCCATACCCTTGCTAGTGATTAGCACTCTTCCCTCGCGAATGCTGCTACCATTTCGAGTTCTATCGGTATTGCAAGACCCCCATGCGCGACCTTCTGATTTAGGGTCAGGATGCTAGATTCAGGCTGCGTCCCCTGCCCTTTAGACTCGTGACCGCGATCCCGAATCGCTATTGGGACCTCTAAATGCGGAAATCTCAGGATTGAAGGTTCGGATTGTCAGGCGGAAGCCGCCTGCACCGAACATGATTCGATTGCTGCACGTTCTCTTCTGTATGCCACGTATCCAGGCAAGTCTGTCTTGACTGTTCAAGCAGTCTTCAATAATAATTCAGTGGCGTCAAGCCCTTGTCCTTGCGTGATGATCGGAGGAATTTCAAAGTTGAACATGGGCGGTTAATGTTCTTCCTTCCGAAGACCTGTGCACACGCACTTAACACTATGTTTTAGGAGCCTTTCACCTCGGTTTTTCCCAGGGCTTTCGGATTTCAGGGTTCGGATGTGCCGGTGCACGCAGGGTTTTCGGACTTCGAAGGGTTCCGGGGGGAGGGGGTGGAGAGGGGTGGGGCTACTCCACATATATGACCTCGTCACGTACTCAAGGGCCTCCGCATCCTTGTTTTTAAGATTGGAAGACAAGCTCCTGCAATTTTCCAGTTTTTGACAGCTGATTTCTTCTTGTTCTAGCAACGTCAAAGCTCAAATTGCTCGACTTTTTGCCACTTCCTGATAAAGCTCAGTCTACGAACAGACCGAGTAAAACTCTTTATGTTGGCATCTTCATAGCTTCAAAACACTCTTGTTGGATCTTGTTGGCAGCTGCGCCGCGTCCATGTTTGAGCTTTAACGCGTTTTGACGCAGAAACGCGTGATTTCCACACCCAGGCAGATCAATAACAACGTTGTGTTTTTGGTGGTCTTTACAATACAAAACGCTGGCCCGTCCTTCCGCGCGCGTGCACAGGGCATCGGAGCGCGTTCTTGAAAAGTTCGAGTCGTGGCACTATATATCAACAAACATCCAACCTGTATCTGCTCCGTGGCATGTAATTACCCGAGAATGAACGAACATGTAGCTACAGTCACACGCTCGTGAACCATGCTGACTCTGACGTATCATGTAACCACATTGAATATTGGGTGCAGCTGCGCGAGTTGTCATTAAGCGGCACCGCTGGTGCCGGCTCCTCCTTGTCAAGAAACACAGACGTTCAGGCAGGGCACAATAAACCGTACCTCGTGGCATTCTCTTTCGAATCTCATTCGCCGTTTCGCTTGCCCTTTACTGCCTGACCAAACTACAACTGAGTTCGAAATTTCTTGCCCATGAACTTGCGATGATTCCGCAGTTACTGCTCTATGACGCAGTAGACTTGCACTGCACTCCAGCGAACGAGCTTCCTTCGTAAACAGCGCCGCCGCTTCGCCAAACGTGGTACCAGCCACGGCCTGCTGACAGCTGCACCGATCTTCTTAGACGAAGAGGACACTTCAGTGCGCGAATCCTAGCTAAAATCAAGAAACACAGGCACGAGCTGCACCTCGAAACGGGGAATCAGCTTTTTGGCCTCGATGCAGCAGATCTATCGGATTCTTGGTCGAAGGAAGTCGAAGGGGGTGAGCTTTCGCTTGGTGCTTCAGCATTTTGAGCGGACAAAATACAAAGTTGGAAACGACAAATTACCACTACAAGGCGTCTTCCTGCTCCGGCACGTTGATCTCCTTTGACCCCGAGTCCCAGAGTTAGGACCTGAGAACTTCAGGCCTTTTGCTACAGGTTTAAAGCCTAAGCAGCCTGGTGAAACTTTGACAGAAGCAGAAGAAGGATCTCTTGGCAGGTGGATAGGAGTTCGATGGGTAGGTGGCTCTGAAGTCTTTAGTTGCGACTGGGAGCCTCTAGGTCCTATAGGTCTTGAGCACTCCAGACTTTGAATATTACCAGTCAGGGTGAGAGACCCGCAGCATAGGGACCCTAAACCCTACACTTTTAAACTGCGCTTTAAATAAACCCGAAAAGCCCTAAACCCTAAAAACAGTGCGGCTTGTTGCCAAGTCCCCGGCCGGAGGGAGCTTCCAGTTTGGGTCGCAGAAGCGACCTTCGTAGCGCCAACGGAGGAATCGTCGAAAGAAAGGCACACGTATGCACAACGGTAACATGCATCAGAGGTCGCCCTCTATCTTACAATAACAAGGCTGTGCATACTCATACTGACATGGGCCTGTGCACAACAAACGGGATACTCACATGTACAGCTTGGCAAAAGCAGATGAGAACAAAACGTGCAAACATGCACGAACAGGAATTAACAAACCTGAACGACAAGACTGTTGCACAGGCAAGGCAAACCATGCGTGCCCTGCTGATTGAATGATGAACAAGATCCAATCTGTGTGCTTGTCTGTAGACTGTAGACAAGCTAGATAAGCACACGCAGCGGAAGTATCTAACATGCTCGTCGCATCCGTGCAGTTGACAACTCCCTTCCCTCACCCACTCCTGCACAAAGAAAGGTTAAATGCTTCGGTGCTGCAGAAGTCAGTACTTTCATCCTGCACCAACCAAGGTCCCGACCACAACGGTGGTGTGCCATGAAGTTCTCGATGCCTTCCTGCACGGAGCACAAGTCGCTGTGACTACAAGGTGGGTGAAACTCATGTCCTTGCATTCGTCCTTGCAGCACTAAAAAACCAAATGTGCAGATCTTGTGTGAACAGTTCTAATCTAAGTCGAGGTCAGCCCTAATGGTTGCAGCACTGTCGCAGCAGGCTCTCCGCTTCCTGCACTCTCCCTCCCTCTCGCTCCGGGCTGAGGCAAGATCAATCCCACGAGTAGCTGAAGACCCGTATGAACCGCCGTGCAGTTGCGAATTCCAGCGAGGTTCTCCAGGGCCAACGAAAACAACGTCAGGATATGTAGTGATGGTGAGCGTGCCTGGAGCTTGGGAAAATTTGAGAATACTATATACTCTATCGCGTGGACAGCTGGAGCCCAAGTCCTGCCCGAGATCTGTGCCACCAAACTCCTGCAGTCAGTGCTGCTCCATGGCTGCTCCGAATTCGAGGCATACAACAGGCGAAACTTACCGTTCTCACATATGGTTCCATGACCGCGAAGCTCTTATCTGAATCTAACTGAGGCCCTTGCCTCTTGAGATTGGGGTTCATGCAGATTTGGAAGCGTGACAGCAAGCCTGCTCGAATTCCCTTACATCAGCTTCTAGCGTGCAACTGGGTCCTTTCCCTTGCTGTGAATCACGGGGTCGGTGAGGATGTAAAAACCTCAGTGTTTGAGGAACCACTCGGACACCACCGGTCTCATCCATTGCTTAGTGTAAAGTTGGAGGAGATGTTTTGAGGCCTGAACCATCGTAGCGACCGCCCTGCAGGTCGCACAGCAGATATTGTCCGTTCCTCCGCTTGGCATGTTTAAGATTGCAAGTGTGTGGCCGTGGGGGGAGCAGTTCTTAGCGACATGCATGCCAAGGCTCGAGATGTGATAAGAAAAGTGCGACAAGGCTTGCATGGTGGCCGTGTCAGGCTCGGCATAGCCAGTATTGCTGTTGAAACGAAAATAAGTACCTCGGCACGAAACGTCGCCCCAAACCTAATTCGATCATGCCTTTGCGCATGATGAGCGCTTCACACATGCATACACAACCAGGATGAAAACAACGGATACCTGTGCATAGCCTGTATTTACACACATGAAGATAGGTAGGCAGATAAATAGATAGATAGATAGACCGATAGATAGAGAGGTAGATAGATAAATGGATACATAGACCGATCGATAGGTCAACAGATAGATCGATACATAGATAGATAGATATATAGATAGGTAATTTGACAGATCGATAGATAGATACATAGATGGATAGACAGATAGATAGGTTGATACATAGATAGATAGATAGCTAGACGAAAGATAGATCGATTTATAGACAGATAGATCGATCGATAGGTCGATAGGTCGATCGATAGATAGATCGATAGATCGATAGATCGATAGGTCGATAGATAGATCGATAGATCGATAGGTCGATAGATAGATAGATCGATAGTTCGATAGATTGACAGATCGATAGGTAGACAGATAGAAAGATAGAAAGATAGAAATATGGTTAGATGCATAGATAGATAGATCGAGAGATAGTTCGATAGATAGATGGATTATAATGGCTGACTTTGTCACTATCACTATCACCAGTCCCGTCTGCACACATTCATATAATCTTAGATATTTATGGGTTTGTATGTACATACACCGAAACAAAGAAAGACAGGGAGATAAGTATACATATATATATATATATATGTATGTCTAGCAAGAGTGAGTACATACACCGAAACAAAGAAAGACAGGGAGATAAGTATATATATATATATATGTATGTATAGCAAGAGAGAAAGAGAGAGAGAGAGAGAGAGAGATATACAGATAGATAGATAGATAGATAGATGGATAGATGGATAGATGGATAGATGGATAGATAGATAGATAGATAGATAGATAGATAGATATAGAGAGAGAGAGAGAGAGACAGAGAGAGAAAGCGAGCGAGAGAGAGACAGACAGAGCGAGAGCGAGCGAGAGAGAGAGAGAGAGAGAGAGAGAGGCAGGAAGAGAGGGAGAGATGGAGAGACAGGCAGGAAGAGAGAGAGAGAGAGAGAGAGCGAGCTAGGTAGCTACAGCAGGCAGGTAGGCAGAAAGATAGAGAGAAACAGAACGCCTACAAGACCCTCCTGGCGTTATCCACACCTCATCCAAAAGGCCTGTGATGTGCAGGAGATGGTAGTGCGGATTGCTTTTGAGCAATGGCCACTGTAAATGAGAGCTCTTCCGGTGGCGTAAGAAGAAATTGAGTTAATCTACATCAGGGAAGCGGCCTTGGATCATGGGCTCAACGAGGACCTGGCGTGGTAAACACAAGGTCATACTGAGTTGTTCGCACATGCGCATCTCTGTCATGATCTTCACGCACAACACCCCAAAACGCCTACAGGAAAAAGCTCGCAGATTTCCTACAGCTGGACCTTGTGCCCCGCAATTCGGCCGCCAGAGCCGGACCAAACCTCCGGCTCGTTGAGATAGACGCGCTTGCTGACCTTAGGGAGAGCACAAGTTCTGGCCTGGACAGCCCAAGCCTGCAAGCGGTACTGGAAGGGGAGGCTGGGGTTCAGGCTTTGAGGGTTTCGTAGGGTGTCGATCATGGTAGAAGCCCAAAAGTTGGAAACCCAGTAGCCTCCATCCTTAAGAGTGATGCATAGGGGAATCCCAGCACTATTTGTCCGTAATCCGGTTACCAACTTTTTGGGGTTTACTGTAGGGTTTAGGGTCACTCGCAGTCGGCTGGCATGCCAGATAAGGGTC